TCCTGCTGGGGTGGTGGGAGAGGGCTGAGCGGGGCTCCCCAGCAGCTCAGGGCTCCTTGGCCCATAGCTGCTGCCGGCCGGGTCCTGCAGCCCAGTGCTCCTCCATGCTCCAGCTGGCACCTTTGGGCTCTTCAGTTTCTGGCCAAGAAACATCTTAGGCAAAGCCAACAAATTTAGTCCAAAAATACATTTATTTAAAGAATTATTATAAATAATCTTTGAAAAATACAGTGTCATTATAGTTTAAAAAGAAAACAACAAACAAAAAAACAAACTGTGTCTTTTCACTTCAACTCTAGCCTTTTACTAGTTGTTGGAGGAGTCTGCGTAAGTCCTGCAGGAAATCATTCAGGGAAGTAGTGTTGCCTGCTGCTACGGGACATGGTGCCTGTAACAGGAAAAAAATGGCTATTAGGATGCTTGCTGAGGGAGGAATCTGCTTCTCCAGTCTGGTCTTGGCTGGTCGGTGGTGTGGGAGAGGACCGGGTGAAAGCGAGAATGGTGACCGAGGGAGAAGCTGGAAGTGCGGCAAGCTTGGAGGCGGAGGGCTGCGCGGCCCTGGCGCGGTCGGTGCCGAGGGCTGTGGGCGGCGGGGGGAGCCTTGCCTTACCTTGTAGGCTGTGCTCTTCCTTTGGACGAAATGGACCAAGTTGAGGTGAATGCCCTTCAGGTACTTGTGGCAGCTCTGGTGCTCCAAAGTGACCGTGGTGGCTTTGCATAAGGTTTCTATATCGTTGTCTTTCTGGAAAAAGATGCACGCGGCTTTTTTTAGAAACCCTTTTGTACAGTCACAGCTTCATTAGCAGCAGATTAAAACAGCGCAAATAATGTGTTTCTGTTCTAAAGGGCAGGGGCAAAGTACAGCTGGAGATGGCAAAGCCTCGCCAAAGCTTCCCAGCCGCGTGCGTGCGCACAGGGGTCCGTTCCCATCTCCGGCGAGGAGGGTGCCGTCAGTCGCTGGTGAGAAGTCATGGCAGAGTTTGGTGCACCAGTGAGCACCCACGCGCTTAGAGCATCGTCCTCCCGGCACGGGTCCAAATGTGGGACCCGTGGGTGGGACCCTGTGTGCGGGGAGCTGCTCCCTGTGGGGTCCCGTGGGAATGAAGCTGGTTCAGGTGGGCAGAGGCTCTATAGGAATAACCAAAGTCCCTGGGAAGAGGTTGCCTCCGTCAGGTGCTTTGAGTAGATAAAGCCCTGTAGCAGCGACACGCGGAAGATGAGGAGCTAATAAGTGAAGTGCTGGCAGTAATAAGAAAGCTATTCAATTGTCTTTCCTGGGAGATATTCCCGATGCCGCCTCCTCGCTGCAGGAGCGCAGGCAGGTCGCTGAGAGCTCTGCCTGCTCGGAGTTCCTCAGCTTTCACCCATATGGCACTGCCGAATAAGCAACCGGCCCGTCCCCGTGAGCGCGGCCAGGTCTGCGGGCGTCGGGTCATGCGGTGTCCCGGGTGTCTTTTCTCAGTCCCAGGGCTGGTCCCTGTACCAGGAGGGGTGTGGGGACCCCCCCGAGGGGGTGCTCAGCCCCAGCCCCTCGCGGGAGGCTGCTGCACCCCTCGGCTGCTGCCTGCCTGTGCACTGCAAGGTGAGGGCATCGGCTTTCTGTGAAAACAGGAACTCTGGTGCCGGGGAGCTTGGCTTAGACAGCAATTTTCGGAGCAGAAATACACTTTATTATCTACTATTAAATCTTCTGCTAACTGAAGAGCCTTCCCCCAGATAAGGGGCTAAAGAGGGATAGTATGTCTAACCAGAGCTCGAGATGCTGCGCGATAGGCGTGTGTGGGTGTCTGTGAGACGGTGACACACCGCTCCAAGGCAAAGGAAGAAGTTCCTCTCTTCCTTTCTGAAAAGCTTGAAAAATCCTGTGTGCTGCTAAAACACATGCTGCCCGTTCTTGCCTGCCCCTCTGGCCTCCCTCTCGCCTCTGGGGTGGCCGGGAGCAGCCGATGCCACTTTGGCTGGAGGTGGAGATGGGTGCGGAAAGGTGAGGGCACCCGTGCTGGGCACCGGGAGCGGTGAGGACCAGCCCGGCAGCCCAGCGTTGCTGCTCGGGGCTTGCGATGGGCTCCTTGCTCCTGTGCAGTGCCGCACCAGGATGGGCAGGACTCCTGGGGCTTCTCGTCTGCCTCCTGGCTGCCCTGTGCTCTCCTCCAGCCCCCAGCAACCTCTCCCAGTACCCATCGTGGCCATATGATTGTTTTCGAACAAGAACGCGTTAGTTTTTTCTCTCCTACCTTATCGCCTGCAAAAATACTTGGCACGTTCGTCTTGTTACAGGAAACCTTTATCAAGACAGAAAGGAGAGGAGCAATCAGGCTAAAGAAACCGCTAACGCGGATCCATCCTGACACATGCACACACAGACACACACCCATCCGTCCATCTGCTCTCGGCCCCCTGGGAGCGCTGTGAACCATGCGCTCTGCCTCAGCACTGCACGCTCAGCACCTTTCTTTAACTCAGCATCGCTCTCGCCAAGCCTGGCAAAACAATCTGTCCCTCCCATCAGCAAGTAAAGTCTGAGCCGCGTGACCGAGCCCTACCTTGCTCTCTAGGAGCTTGTTCAGCAGCATGATGCTCTCCTTCAGAAAGTTGGCGGTCTGCAGCTGAGTGGCCGTGTGGCCCTGGCAGGCTGACAGCGCCAGGAAGGTGAGCAGGACCGAGACCGGGACGCTCATGGCCTGCTTGGACTGAACCTCCTCAGCTCGCAGTTTCTGGATATTTTGGTGATCTATACCTGTGTGTGCTTTTCTGGAAGTCACATCTCAATTTATGGCTGTAAAATTGCTGAACCTGCAGGAAAAACTTATTTTTCCCTTAGCTGCACTTTCCAAAGTTGCTCCTATCCAGTTAGGACAACAGGTCTTTTTTGTAAAAGTCAAGATTTTCTTCTGATCTTGCATTACGTTTCAACGTAGGAAATTTCCACCGTAAGATAACAGTGGTAAGAGTCAGGTCACATACAAAAGAAAAGTATGTAAACTGCCTGGCTTGGGGATTCTTCATTTCTCCGTATTCCAAGACTTTCTCTACACCGTGAGGTGAAAGTGGCCAAACTGGGGAGACCACAGATCTGACCACGCTCAAATAACAGAGCTTTGCTTTTATTTTCTCTAACGATCCTGCGAGCTCTTCCATCTTGCGTTTCATTTGAATATCTCCAAATCATGCAAAGCATCCTTCATCTGCATACCCTTCTCTGTCTACGGTTATCTTAACCTGCGCCCGGGGAGAAACAGAAAGCGTGGCAGAGCCCTGCCTGGGGCCCGTGGGGACAAAAACCTCCTGGGTAGGAGCGGGGCAGTGCTATCTCCCAGGGCCGGGGGGGCTTATGGAGACCTGGGGGCCCTCCTGGCCAAACGGGACCCCCGAAACAGCGTGATCCTGCCCGTGGCACCCTGTGGGGACGCGGGTGAGGGACAGGGAGCTGGTGGTCCTGCGGCATCGATGCCCAGGAGCGCCGGCACTCGTATGGGAAAATGGGGTTTTGTGACTCTGCTCCAGCGCCTGGCGTCTCGGCGAGCTGGAGCCTGTCCCGGCCGTCCTGCCCCCCTCGGGGAACAGCCTGCGCGAGGTTCAGGTGATGGGCTCTGCCGGCACCACCGACCAGCCCTGCTGCAGGAAATCACGCTGAGAAATTAGCTGAGCTGGGAAACTTCGGAGTTTTGTAATAACTAATAGGTATTTTTCTAACTCAAATAGCAACTCGCCATCAGATGCTTGATAAGAGTTTGCGAATGCTCAATTAATCCAGGAGCAGCCAGACTGAGAGTAATTTTGTTTGTCTAATTACGAAATGCCGCAGATGAAGTTAGTGCCACTGACTCAGAAAGACCTTTGCAAGGGATTTGCCAGCGGAGTGCTCTGCCGTTTCCTACCTGCACCGCTCTCGATGGAGAGCAGATAAGCGAGCGTGCTCCGGCTGCGGGACTGTGCCACGGCGGCCGCAGCCTCTGCGGATGGCGGCTGTGGGGCCGGGCTCCTCCCTGGGATGCTCGGACCTGCCCCACTGGTCTGGGATGGGGGGTGGTGGGAGGCTCCCTGCCTAAAAGTGGTGCTGGAGAAGGGGATGGAGGTGGTGGTCCCATCCTGCAGACACAGTGGTTTCCCGAGTGATCACGGTGGAAGGCTCTAGAAGTGGAGTAAATGAACAGAAAATACTAAATTAACAGAAAAATGTAACCTTTGAGCTACTTGGGCTGAATCATGGTGGAAACCTGCATCGCTGTGCGATGGGAAAGTCACCAGTGAAGGAAGAAATTCCCACATCCTTTCACGAGGGTGAGATGAGGCTGATGGCAGTGATGGCCCCATCGCTCGCTGGAGGGACGGCTCCGGCTCCGGCGCGGTCCCTGTCTCTGCCCGCGCGGGGCGAGAGGGTTGTTTCTAGGGCCCCGGCTGTGCCTTCGTTCCAGCCATCATTCAGGGGATGAACGTGCTGCCATCTTCCCTACCCAAGGAAGGTGCTTGATTCAGAAACGTGCCCTCAATTTTTCTCCACTGCCATTCTCCCCATTGTGCTCTGTGGTCTGAAGCATCTCCCCATCACACAAGACCCTGCCTGGGCTCCCAGTGCCAGCAGCCGTGCAGCCACCGAGCTCAGGGCTCCGCTGAAAGCCACAGCCACCGGCTCAGCTGTCCCCCTTTTCCTTTGGCTGAAAGCAGAGCGATTCCAGGATGGCTGCTGAGAAAGGGCCACAAGGGTTTGCCTGGGTGTGACGTGCTGCCCAGGGTACGTTTCGGCCGGCAGTGGCAGGGATGTTCTGCTGTTTTCATACATTTCTGTTGCCTGCCATGTCTGGTGCTGGTGCTAATAATGCTGCGATTTATCCAGAGCAAATCCAAAGCCTGCAGTTAACACCCCATCGCATGCATTTATAGCTATATCCTGCATTTATAACAATTTCTAACAGCTCGTTTGCCTATTTATTGCCTACCTGTGTACCTGCTGCTGCCGGCACCCAGGCGGGCACTCATCCCATGAGCCAGCCCCGTCCCTTCCCTCGCCCATCGGCTGACCGTGCCTTCCCCTGCATGCAGCGCCTCTTTGCTGCCCGCTGGTTTCCATTTCAGCCCTGGTGCCCCCCCGGACCAGGGTCCACACCCCGACATACTCCCCTTCATCACGGCCCCGTGCACAAGACCCTCTTCCCAAGCGTGGACTTTCATCCCTGCTCCTCCAGCCTTTCCCTTCACCCCGTGTTTTCCTACACCGCAAGCCGGGTAGGTGCACTGGTGCCTTTTGCTTTCTTGAAAACTTCTTCCCAATGGCAAACTGGGTAGATTTGCTGTATATTGCCCCAAGAAATGCCATCCTTCCCCACCCCATTGCCCCGCCAACTGACCGAGGAGGCAGCACCCCCCCATGCTCTTCGTTACCTGCTGAAGGTAAGAGGGGAATTGGCAGCATAAACCATTGGTACCAAAAGCTCGTTATTCAATAGTTTATTGCTTAAGCCCTGAAACACTTTTATAACATCAGTGCAAAGTTGAAATGAAACAAAAAAAGACATGATAATTTGAATATATTAACTCTGTCGTAATACAAATATTTTAAATAGAGGGAAGAACAATAAATTACAAATCAGCACACATTCATTTGTTGTCATGGAAAGGCAATTAGGCAATAATAGTTCCCTAAGAATGAGGTAGCGGTATTTTAAATATGACTGTATTCCAAAGAACTACTCTTATATAAGTTAAAAATCAAACACCTATTCTGAATACTGGCTTTTCCTTTTCGTTTTGGGTCCCAAGCGAAGAAAAGCTTTCAACAGCCAGGACTTTTTGTCTTGAATCTTTAGATTACACAGTATAAAAATAAGTTATTTAAATAAAATATAATAATAAATATCCCTAAGAATGAGGTAGCGGTATTTTAAATATGACTGTATTCCAAAGAACTTATATAAGTTAAAAATCAAACACCTATTCTGAATACTGGCTTTTCCTTTTCGTTTTGGGTCCCAAGCGAAGAAAAGCTTTCAACAGCCAGGACTTTTTGTCTTGAATCTTTAGATTACACAGTATAAAAATAAGTTATTTAAATAAAATATAATAATAAATAAACTCCAGAAGTATGATGCCAATGAGCACCCATTAGATCCAAAGTTATCCTACAGACACTCCTGGTCTTCCCTATTAATAACTTAAAAGCCCACTGACAATACAAAAGGCACATTAAAGGTTAGGTCAGCAGTTCTGGCTGGCGGCGAGGCAGCCCCCTCCCTCCGCTGTTTCCCCTCCCAGCTTTCGCTCTCGGATGCTGCACTTCCCCGGCTCCGCTCCCACCGGGCACCCACGGGGAGGCGTCCCCCGGAGCTGCTGTAGTAACTCGTTAGCGAAAAATGCATCATTTCAACCTAGATTTTGATCTCTTTAGGAAGAGAAGACGATTATGAAGAAGCCTCCCTTCATTAAGAGGAACAGGAAGCAGATAATTTGGTTTTGGTTTTGGTAGGCGCTGCAGGAGGAGGTGAATGAATTAAAAGCTCAGCCTCCTCGGCTGCCCCATCCAGGCGTGATGCCCAGCTCCTCCCGGCCAGGCAAACCCTCCTGCCGGCCTTCCCGGGAGGTCAAGAGGGCTCACATCCAGCCCTCTTGAGGGGTCACAGCTCTCCTGAGGGGTCACGTCCCTCCCGAGGGGTTGCATCCGTCCCTCCCGGGAGGGTCGCATCCCTCCCGAGAGGTCTCATCCCACCTCGTGCCGGCTGGAAGAGCCGCAGGGCTGCGAGGGAGCACTAAGGGCAGCGTCGTCCAGACGAGACCTCTCCTGCAGAGGCTGAGTAATGTCTAACACACGGCACTTGGACAGAAAGCTTGGTGCCAGGTGCTTGCCGGGAAGGGGACGTTTCCCATCGCCTGGTCCCAGGCAGGTGGCTGAGCGATCCTGGATGCCCAGCGTACCCGCTGGGACTTGCTTTTAGGATTGCGTTGGGTTTAGGAGGGCTGGGGCAGAGCTGAGGAAGTGCATGCAATGAGGAGCAAAAAAACTCTGCAAAACCTAAAGAGCTGCCAGCAGAAAGGTCCCTGGGCTCGGGGCTGGCAGAGGTGGCTCTCGCCGGAGCGGCACCCGTCTCACTGTGCAGCCGATGTGGCCAGGCGCCTGTACATCCCCTGGGTGAAGTTCCCCAGCTCCGGCAAGAAGTTGCGCAGGTAGATCTCGTTGTCATTGTTCAGGGAGCAGTTCTGGGGAAGAAGAAGCATAAAAGCGTTAGAGCTGAGAGCAGGATTTAGCAGCTCAGACGGCGGGTAGCCAGGCCACCAGCCCAAGCAGACGGTTTGTTTCCATTGCCTCTGTCTCCCAAAGTGAATAAATCAGTTGAGTTGTGAGGATGCTGCCCTGGGAGGCTGGGAATTTGTGCTTTGCTCAGGACAAGCACCCGGCCCCTGTGCCCAGCAGGGTGACCCCGTGGCCACTGGCTCAGGGTGGCCAGGGCTGGCAGGGACGTTCACCCTCTTTCCATGGAGGCAAATTATCCTGCAGCACTGTGCAGGTCTGCAATGCTCGGGTCTGGCCCCGTGCAAGATCAGTCCTGTGGGTACGTCTGGGCAGCTGGCACCGAAGCAGGGCCCGTGCTCGGGAGCAGCTGGCCTGGGGGGCACAGCCGCTCCGGGGGCCGGAGCCACACAGCAGGGCAGCGAGGGGGGAGGCTGCAGCTCCTGCTTACCGTCTTGCCGTGCAGGCTCTGCAAGTTGATGATGAACATCTCGTAGTCTTTCTTGCACCTGGTGACTTTCATGAGCGCCGTAGCAGCCTGGCACAGCAGCTCCTGCTCCGATAGCTGGTAAACATGTGGGGGAAAACATTATTAGAACCAAGTAGTTGATTTAAGTTGATGCTACTTATCAAGGTGTCCAGAACTGGTGGGAGGTTTCACAGCGACTTCCTAAACTGCTTTCATTTTACAGCTGTAATCACAGCCCTGTGCGGTGACTCCGGGGCCTGGGCTGTGCCCAAGGGCCGGGGTCGGGGGCAGCTGGGCAGGCAGAGGCACTGGAGGGGGGTCCCCGGGTGCAGCCGATATTGAGCTGTGTGCTCAGCCCCAGCAACTGGCACTTGAGCTCTTGCTCGGTGACTAATAAAACTACCTCTGCTACGTGGGCTGTGCACCGCGGCGAGGAGGGCACCAGCTATGTCTGTGTTTATTACAAATGCGCTTTCCGCCTATCTCTCCATCATCTTTTACCTTTTGATCCGTGAAGGCGACCTGTGCCACGCGGGTGTCATTGCAGGGGACCTGCAGAGGTGACACAAGGGAGAACTGTCATTATGTGACCGTCATTACGAGACCGTCCCCAAGGAGCTGCCAGCTGCGCCCTCCCCCGGGAAGGGGCACCATGTCCCCGTCCGTCTCCAGTGGGACATGGCATGGATGCACCCCAGGTGCTGCCGCCACCACCACCAAGCTCCATGTTTCAGCAAATTGTTTCAAAACAGGCTCCTGGGAAGACGGGCCCCAGGTTTGCACAGTACTTGCAAGCAGTTGTTTGAGGAGGGTCCCCGGCTGCTCAGCGGGTGCTATGGACCGGCACAGAGTAGGACCTCTGGCAGCTCACACAGTGCCAGGCCACCATGTCCCCATGACCAAGCTGCTCCGGTCACCCCAGCACAGCTCTGCGTGTTGGACAGGGAGGTTTGGGGGAGCTTGTTTTGTTACTCAGCATTTTTTTCTGCAATGTGCCCAATGTCAGGTGGAAAACTTCACCCTGCCCGACCCGAGCAGCCTCTTGTAGCACCAAGTCAAGTGCTGAGCACCCAAAGTCTAGGCTGAAATGGGTGGGGGTGCCCAAAGCACCAAGGAACATCATCATCATCATCAGTAATGTTCCCCTGGTCTGGAAGCAAAGAAACACCAGGAGGTGTAGCAGCATTTACCTGCACTCCTGAGTTGAGCTGGTGGATGCGGTGGGTGATCTCTGACAGCTTTAGTTTGGGAGAGATGGTCGTCAGCGGTCTGGAAGAAATGAGCTCGAGCAGGGAGAGGAGAGTAAAAGCAGCCTTCAGTGAGGGGAGCATCCTGTCGCCGCTGTCCGAGTGCTTCCCGGGCTGGCTGGGCTGGCTGGCCAGGACCTCTCTGCCTCGCTGCTTGGCAGAGCACCATTTTTATAGTCTCCATTGACTACCAAATATAGGTGTCTTCCTGTGCTGATCAGGCGAGACGGTGGGAAGTGCCATTCGCCCCAAAGAAGGGCATTATGTAATGACTGCGAAGACTTTTCGCCCTTAAACAACATTATCTGCTATTCAGCTACCATGCAGATTTTAATCACCTAATTGATAGATGAAGAGATACTGGGATGAGAAGTTGAGAATTTCTCTTTGATGTTTGAGGATCTATTTACTATCGAGCGTGTTTGTAATGTGCTGCATGTGGAAAGCCATGAATGTGTGCACGACTTTTAACCAAGCGCATTGCAAGACTCGAGTAAAGTCAAGCCACGGTCTTATGTGTGGAGAAAGATTTGCTGAAGCTTTCCTTGTCTCGCTGATGCAAAAGACAAGGAGTTACTCAGAGGGACCAGCTCCGGGACGCGTATGGCTGGGTGCCTGCCAGGCCTCTGGCTCCTGCCCTGGATGTCGATGTTTCATGGGGGACAGCACAACCCCAGCGAGTGTCTGGTTGAATTTGGAGGCATTTCCCCGCTGTGCCGGGAGCCAGACCAGCCCTGCCATCCAGGTGGGTCTGTGCCCAGGGATCGGCATCACCCTCAGGTTAGAAATCCAGTAGCCAAAGTGACACAAAAGCAGACATTTGCTTTTGCACTTGACCGTGCCCCTCTGCTGCCCACACAGGGTCCTGCAGACGGCTTGGCACCAACCTGCCCCGGGGACACCACCATCACGGGATGCGGTGGGAGCACCCCGGTGCCTGGCACTGCTTTCCAGGGCACCCCGACTGCTTGCTATCTTTCCTGTTGATGTGGAGGACCTCTCCCCCCCCACGTGGCCCTTTCTCCCTGGTGGTGGCCCTGGGGACCACAGTGCCCTGTGCCGCAGCTTGGTCGTTGCCGGTGGTGACAGCAACACCTGGGAGAAGGAAATGGTGTGCGGCTGCTGTCGGAGAGGAACAGCTGAACCGTCTGTCAGAAAAAAATTCACATTGTTTGGC